TTTAGCCTGTCTGCAGATGGAGATTAATACATTTGTCGTGTTCTCTTTGTTTTTATTTTCTAGAAAATCAGGAAGACACCAATGACTGTTGCGAATCCTCGAGAAGTTCCAGAGTATGAGCTCAATCCGTTAGAGCTTCACGTTCGAAAGAGTGATGGTATCACAAAGGTTGTCCCTTTTCTCCTTTTCTCCACCATTTGTAGATTCTGCTCTGCTTTTCACTGTTCATATATGCTCCAGTCTAGTAGTGGTAGTAGTAGTTATGACATGCCTCAAGTCTTCGGGTGAATTGAAAGCGGTTTCTTTGTACTCGGGAAAATTGGAAGTCTGAGTCCCTTATTATTGAACTCCTATCAGGATGTGCGTAATGTTGCAGATCGGCAAGACAATTAATGTGTGCTTTCTTGTCTAGACAGATTGCTGATATATTTCTCCCTTTGTTCTCAACAGGGATCGTATCAAGTGGCTAAATGGAATGGTACGAAGGTTTCTGTAAAGATACTTGACAAGGATTGCTATACAGACCCTGAAAGCATGTATGTACTCTCATCCCCTGAAAACCGTTTAGGTGATGTTGTACTACCACTTATTTCTAAAGTAGTACAACATATGTAATCTTCTTGTTGTTTGAAATTGAATTGCTCCTTAGTTATTTGCAGAGCCATTAGTTCAGTGTGGGATGGCACATTTTTATGTTATAGACTTATATGGTTTTATGATGCATTCTTTCTTCATATTTCCTTAAATCCGACAGTAATGCTTTCAAACATGAGCTGGAGTTGTTAGAGAAGGTTCGGCATCCTAATGTCGTTCAATTTGTTGGTGCCGTTACCCAAAATATACCGATGATGATTGTTTCAGAGTATCATTCGAAAGTAAGCTCTCTCTCTGCATATATATTGAATGTGTGTGCGTGCGTGCACTCATATACACTCAAATATCTTAACCATGACTTGGCAATGCTTTGATGGTGATATTTCAGGGTGACTTGGGGAGCTATCTTCAAAAGAAAGGGCGCTTATCTCCATCAAAAGCCCTAAGATTTGCTCTTGACATTGCAAGGCATGTATTTGTTTTTCTGCCAATTATTCTTTTAAAAACTTCCCCATTCAAATAGAAATTCAGCATACACAAAAAAAAAAAAAGTTTTATGTTCAGATGACAAGCACATAAATCGTATCATATGGTTTATATATCTATGAGTACCTCAAGCATGTTCTTCCTTCTAACTGTCTAGCTAGGTTCAGCCAATTCACATTTATGACATTTTTCTTTTCTTATGCTTGTTACCAGGGGCGTGAATTATCTTCATGAATGTAAACCAGACCCAGTAATCCACTGTGATTTAAAGCCAAAGTAAGACAACCAAATGCATAAGTTGATGTAATAGGTGTAATAACTGCCTATTAATTTTTTGATGGTTCTGGTTGGGATGTACCGTTATTTAATATTTGAAATTTTGGTAAGGTGCCAGAAATATTTTGCTCGATAATGGAGGTCAACTGAAAGTAGCTGGATTTGGCTTGTTAAGATTGTCAAAAATCTCACCTGACAAAGCAAAACTAGCACAGCCTTGGGCTGACACTGACCTTTCAAGTAAGTTCTTGTACCACTGAATCACTTTCTTGCCTTGAATTCATCTCTCATTATCTGCACTCTATGATAAAATTCGGTCTTTACAAGTAGAAATATATTCATAATTAAAAATTTTGGATTCTGATTGTTGCTTAACTTTCGCTCTTTGAGAAGGAAATTTTCTCTTCAACTCTATAGGAGCGCAAGTTCTTAATTTCTGGGAAAATCTAGATTATAGGAAGAATCATTTTTGAATCATTTAATTAGACAAAAGCTGATCAATCTACACAACTACTACATGCGTATTAGTGTATACAGGATGTGCATGTTGCTCTCAAAACATTGTATATTTCTGTTTTTTGCAAAAAGAAGACTAGATCTACTCATCTGAAACTCGTCATCAGGACTTGAATTATAATTTGTCCTCTTTCATTCTAGGTTTATATGTGGCACCTGAGATCTACAAAGATGAAATTTTCACCAAAAGTGTGGATGTGTACTCTTTCGGTCTTATATTATATGAGGTAACTTTCATTTTTACTGTCTTCATTGTGTTATCAAGTATAATTCATTGTCAGTTCAGCACTTCTAAATTAGTTTACTTTCCTGGGGTTTCTAGAATGTACTTTGCTTTCTCAAGCTTACACAGTACACATAAAAACTTTGCTGTGACCGTAGCACTCTTGCAGACATTGACTTTTGAATTCTTATTTTAAAACACCAATGGTTTGGGGGAATTTTGTGGATGGTTTTCTCTTTTCATCTTGTGTGGAAAACAATTACATTGTTGCTTATTATTTGGAAATAAATAATAACTTGTCTTTGTGTGGCTTTGTTTTCTCATAGATGGTTGAGGGATTACAACCATTCCATCCCAAGCCTATGGAAGAGGCTGCGAAACTGATGTGTTTGGAAGGAAAAAGACCGCAGCTGAGGACCAAATCAAAGGGTTATCCCCCTGTAGTAAAAGAGTAAGTTTGATTTCAATACAAGTCACCGCATGGTCTGCTAATTAACATGCAATAACTTTTTGTCGTCGTATCTGAAAGGGGAATTGTAATGCTTAATTGATGATGCTAAAATGATATGCATGCAGGTTGATTGAGGAATGTTGGAATCCAGAACCTGTTATGAGGCCCATCTTCTCGGAGATTATTATACGGTTGGACAAGATAGTTTCGAATTGCTCAAAGCAGGGCTGGTGGAAGGACACGTTTAAGCTTCCTTGGTACGTCTATCTTCTGTGTATCTTCTAAAGGTTCATAGTATTTTCTCTCGCACACGGACAAGTTGTAGATTTCATTTTCTTACTGCACTGTAACGCATTATATGATTTGATGATTTGCAGGAAATAAGAGGAGGCGGTCTCAGTTCCATTGGAAAACGAATAGAGAGAAGGACTTGGGCGTAAACTAGGTGCTCGGGGCTCGACGTTGCAATGTAATTAAGAATCAAGAGGGGGGGGGCTTTGGTTTAGACTAAGAAATCGAGTCAGCCTACGTAAAATGTTGGATTACTATCCCATAATCTTTGTTTGCCAAGGAGCTGGAACAGTTCCTTTCTAGTATGTATCAGATTCCTGTGCGAAAAAGAAATTTTCTTTTAACGTAGATGATTTGTTTTACTTAAGCGCACACGCACATTATAACGTACTCCCAAATTATAATCTCATTGCATCCGAATCCCTTCGATTTGCCGATGAATCACTGCATTTTGCAGCGAAAAGAAACGATCTATAAACTGATGTTATTGTACGAACTGTAAAGTGTATAGAAGAAGAAGAAGCCTTTCTGAAGTTGCTTTTCCTTTGGGTGAAGATGGAGCCCATAACGTAGACAAATTAACCACACGTGTCTGTAAATTTGTATTGTAAACCAATCATCTCAGATTAATTATCTTCATAAGTAATCGTTTGCTTATGCAATTATTCGGTCTTAATCACCGTTTTATCCGAATTAATCGAGCATTTTCCTAGAAGATTCATCGGTTAAAAAGCCATCCACTTTTTTAACAACTGTTTGCATATAATTTAAATGTAATGTGAAAGGTGGGTTCCTTCACGTTGAAGCGGAAGACTAATCCAATATCTTGCTTGTATCCTTACTACATTATCTCTAACTACTACGACTAATACACCTTATCACTAACTTCAGAAGAAAAGGCTGAAACTTTCAGAAACTATTCGTGTTAACAAGGGCACCCGAAAAGGAACACAAAAGAAACCGACTAATTAACTGTGAGAGGGAGGCTTGCGGCACAAGCAAGCACCAATATGATTATGTTGGAAGGAAGGAATAGGAGTTTTCAAGTGTGAAAGGAAGAAAAAAATGGTTAATTGAGAAATGAGAAGGGGTTGTTTTTATTTTGCTCCTAATTTGGTAGAGGGGGAGAGAAAGGATGTGACAAAGACTCGTCAACAAGAGTCATATATATTTTCGTAGCATGATTGCAAAGCAAACCCACCATTTAAACCCTATAAGTTCTTCCCACCTTCTTCCCCATTCATTCCATCCTTCCAATGGGGTGGCTTCACTCCCTCGGCTCCCCGTTGAAGAAGCTCTGGGATCGTCTGCACTCGAGCCACAGAAAGCGTACGCAATTCCTCGTTTCTCCTTCTGCAATCTAATTCTATCTAACCTCTTTCCTCTTAATCTCCGGCTCTCAGTTTGATTCTTTACAAAATGCAGGAAAGGGGATATATATATTGTACAAGGACGTGAGGTCTTGTCCGTGCGAAGATGTGCATGTTCTGTGGTCCATCCTGGTTGACTCGCAGTCGCAACCTGCAGCTGCTGCATTGCCATCTACATGATTATTATTTAAGAGGATAGTTTTATCTTCTTGTACATGATCAATTTCACTGCGTTATACTATATATAGTGTACATACGTACGTTGATAATCCTATAAGCCTTTTTATGGCTTTCTTGCTATCTTTAACCTGACCAGCTTTAAATTGTGTCATGCCACTTTCTCAATTTAATTAAAAACTTTTGTTCGACTTCCTCTGATTGTGTTTGGCACCCTCGATGATCTGACCATTGCGTCTTTACTTCTTGATTTTTTTTTAATTTATTCAATTTAATTTTTGGGAAAGAAGATAAAAGTTTAGCAAAAAGGAAACGATGGTGTGGAATTTTTTATTTTTTTTAAGAATAAAGGAGAAAATTGGAACATACATTTAGAATTTTACTAGGCGGAATAACATATTTTGAGACGGAAATAACAATTACAAAGAATAGCTTCTAGGGCAAAAAGAACAAGCAAAATCATAACCGAGCTGAACGAGACTTACTACTAGGCAACGGATGTTGACGAACGATCGTGCTAGCCTCTAGGAGAGGAATGCCCCACAGAAGCCAGGGCATCCGCAACAAAATTAGTTTCACGAAAAAAGTTATTTAAAATTTTAATTGGTGTTTTTAATTTAATAAAAGAAAATCGGTGGGCTTTGGGTTGAGATTAATATTTTGGAGAGCGGCCCAACATATCTTCAACTCTAGCAAGTAGTAACCCTAAAACCCTTCCCCTCCTTCCCTGGCGAAAAAGCTCACAACGCACGCGCACACAGGAGGGAAAGAAGAGCGGAGGCGCAGAAATTGAAATTTGAAACACACGGTGGAGAAAGACAGCCATGGCGGATAGCAAGGCGGTGACGATCCGAACGAGGAAGTTCATGACCAATCGTCTCCTCTCCAGAAAGCAGTTCGTGAGTCTTCTACCAACTATTCTCCTGGTTGGTCAACTAGAAAAAAACGTAGGAGAAACCAAGAAAAATATCCAACCAAACAATCCCATATCATAAACTGAATCTCGAGTTCAACTGTGCTGCCGAAGTGGAATCGTAAATCTAGCTGTAAAAAGCATTGCCCAGAAAAGCAATGTATTTCTACGTTTTAACTTTGAGTGTGTAAATCCTTTGCTTCGTGCAGGTTATCGATGTTCTGCATCCAGGAAGACCGAATGTTTCCAAGGTTTGTTTTCCGTTCTTTAATTTTCTAATGTTAGTGTTAACATTTTCCTCCTGAAAATTCTAGTACTGTTGAGCTACATGTTATTTTGTAAGACTTGGCGCAGAATCGAGGGCAGCTCATACAGCCACCCCACTCAGTAGGGGTAAGGCTTGGTTGTTGTAAAGAAATGTTTTGAATCTTAGACAATGGTTTGGAGGTTTGGGTTGCACTATATCGACGATGTTTAGTTGTTCGTGTTGTTAATCTCACCTTTTCTCTAGTTGTGGCTTTATTTTTTCTCTGGGCGGATTGTTTGTTCTGTCGGCTGAAAAGAATTTCTGTTTCATGGCGTAATGTAGGCGGAGTTGAAGGAGAAACTGGCAAGATTGTATGAAGTGAGGGATCCAAATGCCATCTTTGTTTTCAAGTTCCGCACCCATTTTGGAGGAGGGAAATCCACTGGTTTTGGTTTGATTTATGATTCTGTTGAGAATGCAAAGAAGTACGAGCCCAAGTACAGGCTGATCAGGGTAACTTTACCTTCTTTTTCTCACGCACATCGCATGTAAATCGCAGTTCCTTATGCTTCGACATAAGTTTATTTCTCATCATTCAAAATGTGCACTCATTGGATTTTTTTTTAATCGTTTGAGTTTGATGAAGAACTCCGCCTATGTAAGTTTATCTTACATTGCCGGTCCCAAGCCCGGATAAAGGAGGAGGGGGAGGGCGTCAGGTAGTCGACAGCCGGCACTCCACAGTTACGTCGAATCCTTATGACAATGAATCCAGAACGAAATAGCCGACCCCACTTAGTGGGAAAAGGCTTTGTTGTTGTTGTTGTTGTTGTTTGAGTTTGATGAAGGGGCCCTTTCAGGCTATTATAAACTGCAGACAAAAGGGTTATAAAGGAGGTGAATCTGTTTTAACTTATGTTGATTAGTTTTTTTCGATCCTCTAATCTATCACCTTTCACGGGAAGACCTTATAGAATTTCAAGAGTCTGATTTGTCAATGCTTCTGCGTCTGGTATATAATGGTTTTGAATGCTATAGAAGTAGGCTTTGCAATCCTTCCCAAGTTAACAGTCATTTGTTATGTGTCAAATTGCGATGCTATGATTTTGGTCAATAGTATCTTTTACTTGTTGCGTGTGTTTTTGGTTTGGCTGGAAATGCTCGTATCCTTGGGGGTTTGTCTCTTGAATCCTTTATAACTACACACGCCGAGAGTCTATCTCTAGCACTCTCTCTCAGTCGCTCAACCATGGCTACTTTTGCAGAATGGATTGGATACAAAGGTGGAGAAGTCAAGGAAACAACTCAAGGAAAGGAAGAACAGAGCCAAGAAGATCCGCGGAGTAAAGAAGGTAAAAAAAAAGAGTCTTGTTCTGTTTTCAGTGCCCCAACTCTTTTGTGGTACCGTTTTTGTGATTCACCTAATATTGCGTTGTTTTGCGCAGACTAAGGCTGGTGATGCTGCCAAGGGCGGGAAGAAGAAATGAGCTTGTACACATTCTGAGGCTGCATGTGTTCGTCGCAGCATGTTTCTGCATCAACCTCTGTGTCTCTTGGTCCCTGTAAAAGTTCTGACGATTGAGTTGAGGCTTATGTTGTGATTTTATAGCGTTTAATCCTCAGATTTTTTATTATTTTTTTGTTTTTCCGCCCTTATATTGATCGTGCTTTTAGACTTTTAATCATGAAAATTAATCGGAGATCATTTGCCTTAATTCAAGACAAGAAACTACGCAGAATATCGTCGCAAATTTGCAAATTCGTTGATTGTAGTTTGTGTCTACGGATGTGTTGCAAGTTGCAACCAAAGAATGCTCCATGATATTTATTTTCCTTTTGCCTTGTTTATTGCCAAAGATCTATCAATTTGACTGAGAATTCAGCATATATAAACGAATCTTTGACCATATCCCTTCACAGGCTTCACAAGTATTCCCTTCCTTTTTTTCTTTTTTTTTTTGAGGTATTTGTCTATTTTCATTGAACTTTTAAGAAGCTATCAATTTCTTACTTTGATTTATCTAATGGACCTCTTGAATTTTTATAAAAGTTCAAGCGGTAATCAGCTAATTTAAAAGTTAGAGGAAAATGGGTCAATGGCAATAGTATAGGTTGTTATTAGCTAAAATTAAACTTTTGAGGAAAAAATTGACAGTTCTTTACAAATTCAAAAAAAATCAACCAATACCTTTATTTTTATTCAATTGCAAAAATGTTATTCTAACACAAAAACTATACGATTAGCCCTGCTAAAGTTACTTATCTTTCATGTGACATTATTTATTATCTAACTAGCATATATCTACACACTGAATAGTTTCACTTCTTTTTACCTTTTAGTTGACAAAATTTTATTTGTTAATTATTAGTTTAGATAATAAATTTATACTGAAACAAATTATAAAGTTTCTAAAACAAATAAAAACTTCATCCGTGCAGTGTGCACCACAAACTCTCTAATTTTGTTACTTTAACAGCGTGATTTTCTTGGATAAAAAGTCGGTATTTTTCTTATTTTCCAGGATTTGCTTAAAAGGATAATTTGGGTTGGAACGGTCAATTTTGTTGCTCTAAAAATTTACTTATTAATTGATAATATATAAACCCTAAACCCTGAAGTAATTTACTTTCGAAGAGAAGGGTTTCAGGTTTTTAATTTCGATCGAGAGGGTTTTAGAAACCCCGAAACGACATTGTTTCACCTGTGTGCTGCAGTTGATTATGCGTGAGATCTGAAATTCAGTGCAGAAGTTGAGAAATGGCTTCCACAGCGATCTTCAGGAGGAAGAGAATCGTCACCGACTATGTAACGGCGTCGTCCCGCGCCAGCCCTGGATTCCAGTGGCTCGGGCATTCCCATGGCGATCAGAATCTGGAGTCCAGGGGCTTCAGCAGTATCGTCACGCTTAAGAGCAGCAGCAACAACGACGGCGATGATAAAGTTTCCGTGGCAAAAGACGAATTCCGGCGATTGGGGTATGTCTATATCTCGCCAATGGGGATACATCAGCGGTGGATGTCGCAGGCGATTCGAAATGCGTCCACTGCTGCAGCGGCGGCGCCCGCCAAGCCTCCTGAGGCTGGGAGTCCCAGTGATGACGAGGACAACCAGCGTTTGGCTGCCAAAAAAAGAAAGGAGGCGTCTCCGGAGGACTGCGATCAAGCTGTCCAGGGGTTGAGCACTGCGAAAGCCGCCAAGGCCAAGAAATTGCAAGAGTCTCTCAAGGAAAAGGCTGTCAAACCCATGTTGCAGAAAGTTTGGGCCACCATCCTGGGAATTGGCCCTGCTTTGAGAGCTGTGGCTTCCATGAGCAGGTTAGAGTATATAGCTTAAAATCTTTCATCTTTTTCCGATATTCTATCTTAAACTAATCTAAATTGCGATATTCTACTTTAAACTAATCTAAATTGCGGAGGAGTTTGAAGTGGGCAGCATACCGGAAGCATATCCACTCTAGAAAGTGTGGCTATGCCCACGTCAGCCCATTTGTTGGCCCTTTTAATCAACAAGATTTCTTCTTTTAATCCAAGATTATTTCATCTTCACAAATGCTGGTTTTCATGGTTGTTTGATTATGCAGGGAAGACTGGGCCAAGAAACTTGTTCACTGGAAAAAAGAATTTATATCCACATTGCAGCATTATTGGTTGGGTATTAAGCTTCTGGGTGCTGATGTAAGGATTTGTTCGAGATTGCTGCTAAAGCTTGCTGGCGGCAAGACTCTCTCTAGAAGGGAGAGACAACAGCTCACCCGCACAACAGCTGACATCTTTAGGCTAGTTCCGTTGTCGGTTTTCATCATCGTTCCTTTCATGGAATTTTTGCTGCCAGTTTTCCTCAAATTGTTCCCCAACATGCTGCCATCAACTTTTCAAGACAAATTGAAGGAAGAGGTACGGACTGTATATTCGTAATCGATTTAGCTTGGACTGTGAATGGCACCTACTTTTGTTCTAGAGTTTGCTTAAATGCGTGCCTGCATGATCCACGTCATGTCTCTGCATGTCCATTCTCCTACCAACTTATGTTTTCAATTCATGTACACATAGTTTGTTTCGTATTGTAGTATTTTTCTAATACTAACTTAGGTATTCACATATGCTTAGGGGCTTTGCTTTTTCCCCTTATGTTGTAGTATGTTCGATTTCAACTTTCTTATCAATTTGTAGGAAGCATTGAAAAGGAGGCTAAAGGCAAGAATCGAATATGCTAAGTTCCTCCAAGACACGGCCAAAGAAATGGCAAAGGAAGTTCAAAACTCAAGGAGTGGAGAAATTAAGCAAACAGCAGAAGATCTAGATGAATTTTTAAACAAAGTGAGGATTTCGGTTCCTATGGTAAACTTTCCATGTTTGTTTCTCCAATATTTCTTGTATGCAAACCTGTCAATTTCTATGTGTAGGTTAGAACGGGTGGACGTGTTTCTAACGAGGAGATTTTGGGGTTTGCCAAGTTGTTTAATGATGAACTTACCCTTGATAACATCAGCAGGTTATCTTTTATCATGAATGCTCAAGGTTTTAGTGTTTGAATGTGATGGGATGCATGTCGGTGAAGTTAATAACTCTATTTTCCGTGGCATGCAGGCCTCGGTTAGTCAGTATGTGCAAATATATGAACATTAGCCCTTATGGAACAGATGCATATTTGCGATATATGCTCCGGAAAAGACTCCAGCGGTGAGATGCATATCTTTGCATATTAGATGTACATTTTTTTTGTTGTAGCCTTTTTTTAGAAACAAGAATAGTAAAGTTAATCTTAAATTAGAGCTATTTATTAGGCTCCTCATGCTGTGCTCTGCCCAATTAGGTCTTCGTTCAAGCTTGGTCATCTTTCTTTGATATATTTTTTCTTAGTTCATCAATGAAACCTTTAGTAAATCACTAGGGACATACTCTTTTTTTCAAGAAGAGCATATACTATCTTGTTAAAGAATTTGATCGAAGAATTTCTTACTGTGAACATAAAGAACTACTTGAAAATGCTGTTATCCCTAATTGGTATTTGAATTAGCTACATATAAACTTAAACATGAAGTAAATAGACGAACATGCAAGAGTTTTTCAACCTATATTCTGAAAAAGGAACTGACAAATTGAGTTTTGTTTTAATGTTTATCAACATTTTTTTTTTTGTCAGGATTAAGGCTGATGATAAGTTAATTCAAGAAGAAGGTGTGGAATCCCTTACAGAAGATGAGCTGCGGGAGGAATGCAGGGAGCGCGGAATGCTTGGTTTGCGTTCTGTGGAAGATATGCGCCAGCAGGTATACCATGCTTAGACCAGATACTCCTTTCTTCGATTGCAGATTAGGTGGTTGAAACTTCCAATACCTTTTTTTGGCAACTTTGAGTCTGAATATACTTTTCAGTTTCATAAGTGGTTAATGGAGCTTGGTGATTTATGATATATCAAAACTGATCTCTGTCCTCATTTATTCATTAATGTCATCATGTAGCTTCATGATTGGTTGGATTTGTCTCTCAATCACTCCATGCCATCTTCGCTTTTGATCCTTTCCAGGTATTCTTAGGCTCCATAATGCACACCTAACTCTTTGGGTTTGTTTAATTCCTTATTATTGCTTTTACATTCAGAAGCCCTACAGTTCATGTATATCTTGATACTGGAGCCAGTTTAACTTAGTTCTTGTTTGATGTGCATAATGCAGAGCCTTCATTGTGTCTGGAAGGTTGATGCCAGCTGACGCCGTTCGAGCTACACTGTCTTCTTTGCCAGATGAAGTGGTGGATACTGTTGGTGTTACATCGTTGCCCTCGGAAGACTCTGTATCTGAAAGGAGGAGGAAATTGGAGTTCCTTGAGATGCAGGAAGAAAAGATCAAGGTTGAAATTGTTTGTTTTCCATTTTGACGGTCTTATAGATAGCTTTTAGCGTTTTAGTAACCAGAACTAAATGTGTGTCTGTATTTTTATAGCCAGTTTTGAAGCATTTAGTTTGGGGTTGTCTGAATTTGGAACCCAGAAAAAGGATGAGTAATCAAAAAGAAAAACACAAATTATAGTGCCGAAGAAAAACTCCTGAAATAAAATGTTATGACTATCATCTGACTTAGATAACCTTCGTTGAAGAATTAATTTTGATGTAACCGTTCACTTCTGTCTCTGTGTGGTTGATCCTTATTTGTACTGAGTGGCTTTCTGAATTATTATGTGACAGGAGGAGGAACAGAGAGAGGAAGAAGAGCTAGCCAGAATGAAAGAATCTAAAGCCAAAGAAGAGGATAAGGCATTGAAGGAGATGACTATTCCAACAGCCAAAGAAGCACAAGAACAAGCCAGGGCAAGGACACTAGAAAAGCAAGAGAAGCTCTGTGAAATAAGTCGTGCATTGGCTGTTTTGGCTTCCGCATCTGTAAGGACTGGACTGAATAACTCTCAATATTTTTATTGTGGAGTGTACTCTCTTCTTTTTCCTCTACCAAAATTTCAAGCGTAATCATCCACGCTGTAAGCTTAACAGTTTCTTAATATTTTGTTTGTTGAATAATATTTCAGTCTGTGAGTAGAGAACGTGAAGAGTTCCTGAGGCTTGTCAATAAGGAGGTAATTTAAAACCTTTAATTGCTCTTAATTTATATTGGATATTTTTTAAGATGAAAGCATTTATCTTTGGTATGCCTGGTAGTCTTCCCTTGCTCAATATATGCAGCAGAAACATTGGGAGGGATAACTGCTTGCAGTTAATTAGAAGGACCATGCATCATAAATATTGCCTCCAGTTCTGAGTCATTTCTATGCTTGCTTTTTATATGGAAGAACTTGGATGATGTTGATGTTCTTTATGCTTTTGTCCCTTTTTGTTTGAAGACTGTGCAGATTGACATTTGTTAATACTTTCAAAGGTAAAAGACTGTTTACTACCTTCATGTTTTGTGGTTTTCAACATTTAGTACATCAAGTTTTTTTCATCTCAGATTCATACCTAAAGTGTAAATTTTGGGACAGTCTCATACATCCATTAGTCAAACTGTTAAATCTGTCGTTAATTATGACGTGGCGCCATGATTGGGTGCCACGTGTCATCCACATTTTTTTTTTTTTTCTTCTTTCTTCTTCTTCCTTCTTCTTCCTTCTTCTGCAACTTTTTTTTTCTTCCTCCTTCTCCTTCTTCCTTCCTCCTTCTTCCTTCCCCTTCTTCTCCTTCTTCCTTCTCCGTCTCCTTCTTCTTCTTCCTCCGAATCTGGGGAATTTTTTTTTTCTTTGTTTTTTCTTTTTTCTTCTTTCTTCTTCTTCCTCCTTCCTCTTTCTTCTTCTTCTTCCTCCTCCGACTGCAACTTCTTTTTTTTTCTTTTTTTCTTTTTTTCCTTCCTCCTTCTCCTTCTTCCTTCCTCCTTCTTCCTTCCCCTTCTTCTCCTTCTTCCTCAAAAAAAAAAAAAAAAACCTTCATCTTCCCCAAATTTGAGGAAGAAGAAGGAGAAGAAGTGGAAGGAAGGAGGAAGAAAAAAAAAAAAAAAAAAAAAGGGTTGTAGTCGGAGGAAGAAGAAGAAGAAGAAGAAGAAGAAAGAAGGAGGAAAAAGGAGGAAGAAGAAGAAAAAAGAAGAAAAAAAAAATAAATAAATATATAAAAAACTTCCCCAGATTCGGAGGAAGAAGAAGGAGAAGGAGGAAGAAAAAAAAATGCAGAAGAAAGAAGAAAAGAAAAGAAAAAAAAACATGGATGACACGCACAATTAACGGCAAATTTAACAGTTTGACTAACGGATGTATGAGACTGTCCCAAAATTTACACTTTAGGTATGAATCTGAGACGAAAAAAACTTGATGTACTAAATGTTGAAAACCACAAAACATGAGGGTAGTAAACAGTCTTTTACCCTACTTTTAATGGCATTTAATTACGAGCTTTCTTATGCATGCACTAAGTCAGAAGGATGCTTTGCTTAAGATGATTTCTTTGATCTTTCCAGATTGAACTTTACAATAGCGTGGTGGATAAAGAGGGTACAGATGGTGAAAAGGATGCCTTAAAGGCATACAAAGCTGCTCGAGATGAAAGTGACAGTACTGCTGAGGCGGAAGGTGATAGTGGGATTTCATCAGCGCTCATAGACAAGGTTAGAAATTCAATTCCAACTTCTCTCTTATAACATGTTTATCATTGTTCACTTAATGGATTTTTTTTTTCTTTTGTGTATTTCAGGTTGATTCGATGCTTCACAATCTTGAAAAGGAAATTGATGATGTAGATGCTCAAATTGGTGATCGCTGGCGATTACTTGACAGGTGAATTGTCATTTGTCGTTCATGTCTTCCCACTCTTCAACCTCGATGGATGGTGTTGTCATTTGTTTCTTCTTGCAGTTAATCGTTTCGATATGCGTTCAGGGATTTTGATGGGAAAGTAACTCCTGAGGAGGTTGCAGCTGCTGCGAACTACTTGAAGAATACTTTAGGCAAGGAGGGTGTCCAAGAACTCATAGGCAACCCAAAAGATAAAGGTTGGTTCTTCTGCTAGACTTATCTCATCTGTTCTCCTGAATATAGGCTTGTCTCATGCATTCTCACGAATGCATCTCCGATTAATTAATGTCGTTCTCGTCTCCAAATGCATTGATATGATTCATGATTTTGATGATTGATGATTCTTGTCGTGTTGTGTTGTGTTGTCGCAGATGGGAAAATTCTTGTGGAAGACATTGTGAGATTGGGAGGTCGGTCTGAAGATGCAAACTCAGCAGAAGACGAGAGAGTTTAGAGTAGATGGTAGCATGGCATGCATATCCCAGCTCTCACTTTTGTCATGAGAGGTTGATGATGTGTGAACCCGTTAGCTTATATCCTGTCCTATCCAATCCTATCGTATCCTATAGGTTTCGTTTTCCGTACATACAGAAGTGCTTTTTAATCTTCTTCTACCGGTCCGTTTGAGAGAGAGAGAGAGAGAGAGAGAGCTTACTGCTGTCAAATATCTTTTGTACTTACCATGAGAAATATAAAAATGCATTCTTGAAAGTTCAAAGATCTTGGTTGAATTTCGGGAATCACTTCTTATTTGCTTGGAGTAGGAACCTACAAGATATTCGTTTTGATGGAAAAGTGACAATATATTGATGATGAAGAGGATTACGAAAAGAATCAAAGTTGATGTGTTGTAAAACATTAGGTGAGCCAGACTACAAATGAGGCCGGTCTACAACGAATCATGCATGTTACTAAAAAAAACACATAAGATCTCGATCAAAATTTTAATACTAGAGTTCTTTTATTACCAAGTACTGGAATCCTAATGTACGTAGTTATATATGCTATGTAATTACTTAGGAGATGATCATTGTTTTCCATGACCTGCCCAATACACAGTTATTTTGTCTTGTTTGTTTTGCGTGTGCGGAGCCCACCTTGCTTTCCTTGCGTCCAAGTTCGCCTTGTTCTACGTGCGCGGAGTCCGTTTAGTTTTGCGTGTGTCAAACCTGCCTAACACCCACTATTTTGTTAAAATTCAAAATTTTTTATTTTGCAAAATATTTTCCTTGAGCGTTTGGAAAACTTTATATGGCATTTGGAAGCGGATTTACAATTTATTGAGTAACAAATGTATATTTAGTATAATATTTAAGCTGAAAATTAAAAAAATAAGTGAAAGACATATTAGTGACGCCCAAAACATTAATTGTTTAAAAGGGGTTCAACCCTCAAGGATATCAACGGAAAATTTTACCTTAATTTTCAAAACTTTAGGATGGGGTTCTATGCCCTCAAGAATCTTAACGGAAAGTCTTCACGGTGTGGTTAAAGTGAAAATAAATAGATAAATGATTTTAGTACGACTGAGCTAGGATCGGTAGTGTGGTACCGATCTTTCCCTATTTCAATTTATTTGTCTATTTTCTACATTTTTGTTTTTTCCTTTGAGTTTGTTCTTTTCCTATGTTACTTTATTTGAGTAACCACTATTAAATTCAAATGTCTTTAAGTTTAGGTTTTAAATTGTTGATTACAAGTGTTTAAATATGAATTATAATAAATTGTGCATGGAAATATATATTTTGAAGAATATGAATATGATAGTTTGTTGTTATGGTAAGAGAAATAAAAGAAACATTAGCAAGAAATAAAAAATAAAAAATTTGAAAAGGGAGGATCGTTATGACGCTAGCGATTGTTAAATGTCGCTACCTCGATAGTGACGGTAAGTGTGGACATTCAGTAACAAAGTATTAATCGTATCATTTTTTATCTTATTTATTTATTTACCAATTGACTGACACTCAGTGTACAGGTTCGGGATCCATTTATATGAGAGACTTCATCATTTCATGAATTCAATATGTCAACAACCAAACACTTACATCCTACGTACGTACTTCATATTATTTTCAATTTGCCAACAACCAAAAATGAAGGTTATTGCACACGAGTGAAGCACGTGGATATCGAATAAAATTGTAATATACACGAGCAATGTAGCAAGAGTTGAAGAAATAATTGTGGACAGTGGGTGTTAACCTACCACTAACTTCGTATGCCAACTTGCCAGTACGTACCCTGCAAGGCTCCAAGTCATGAGGGGGAGGAGGGACTGCTTCCAATCCAATCGACTTTTGCGGATTATTTGTGTATTTCCTTTTATATATATACATATATATACATATACATATATATGTATGTATGTATGTATATATCTAGAAGGAAATCATACCCCCATGGCCAAGCATACAATATTGCATGGCTAATTCTCTCTCATTCACTCACTTGATCGGTTTCGGCCTATACAATCAACTTAACTCACCAATCTTATGCCGTTGGCAAAGAGTAGTAGTTGAGAAACTAGTTGGTAAGTGTCGCACCCATGCATGGCTTTCCACCCCTTTCATTTACATGGCTAATCACATGCAATTTAAAGGCAACAATTATATGTTTGATAGCATATTACCATAAATCAAATATTAAAACCGTCACTTTTATCGAATATAAAACTTCTCACTGAAATGTGAGAAGAATATAAATAGATTGTAGGGTTTAGGCTGCGGTTGTCAATTTGGACACGAATTCTTGGATGTTTTTGTCCGAAGTGCCACCGTCACTCACAGCCTCTATTGCCAACTCCCTCCATTTCTTTGCATTCTTTTTCATTTCAATCCCATCCTTCTCATCTTCCATCACTTTCCTAATGCAACGCTTAAACTCTTCTCTTCCGACCACCCCAGTAACATTCTCACCGCGATCGTTTATCTCATCATTATCATGATCATAAACCTTCACTCTAACACCAACCTTCCAAACATCCTCAACTAGCTTGGAATTAGTAGGCTGGTCGGTCCACTGCGGCATTGCAATCATTGGCACTCCCAAGCTTAATGCCTCAATCGTCGAATTCCACCCGCCGTGTGTGAAAAAACATCCCACCGCCGCATGCGACAGCACCTCCAACTGAGGGCTCCATTTTACTACTAACCCTTGACCACTATTACTCGTCTCTTCGACAAACTTGGAGGGAAGCTTTGCCTCCTCCGAAGGCCTAACCACCCACAAGAAGTGGAAGCCGCTTTCCTTCAACCCAAATGCAAGCTCCTCCATCTGCTTGTCACTTAGATTGGCCATGCTACCAAACGCCACGTATACAACCGAGCCTGCTGGCTTGGTGTTGAGCCAGTCTGTGCAGGTCGAGTCGAACTTGAAAAGATGGACCCCGTAATCCTTGTCGTCTTTGATGCTATTGTCCAAGTAAAAAGATGGAATTGTTGGCCCTATTGTCAACAAGTTTGGACAATCTTTTGACATGGATTCCACCGCCTGTACTTGCATAATTATTTCATATTACATATTAGTTACTTGACAAATCAATTATATACTGATCTACCACAAAAACAAAAACAAACAAAAAACTCACTTAATATAAGCATTAACAAAAATTATTTTGAATAATGATATTTAGGCACTATTCTAAAAATCTCTTCCTAGCGCCGCCTAGACCCTGTCTAAGCACTAGTTGGCTGGCACTGCCCCGATTAATGTATAGGCATTTGAAAATTAAGAAAGGGCGCCTAGACGTATTGACGCACCCGCCTAGGCGCTCGCCTAGCACGCCCATACTCGCCTAGATTGTGATTCACTTAGATAGAAAATATATAACTTTCATTTTGCGTTTTATTTTTTCCATTAAATTGTAATAGACTTGTTAAATACTTAAATGAACACACATTATAAACTTGTTCCCCATGTTTTCATTATGTCCCAATAGCTAATAACATATATGTCATTCTATTTTGTATTTTATGATGAAATTATATATATAATAGATTTAATTAAATCTATTATAATAGATTTAATTAAATCCGCCTAGTTCACCTAGGAGCCTGCCTAGACACTAGGCCCCAACCCGCCACCCGACTAGCGCCTATCGTCTTTTAGAACCTTGTATTTAGGCATACAAAAGAGTCACACTCTTGACAAATTTATGTCACGACATATCACTCTTGTGGGTAAAAATAGAATTACTAGTTAATCAATGATCATCTGATAATTATATTTCATTTCCAGTTTCACGTTTATTAAAAATTAGAAACTTGTTTGATAACTGTTTTCAATTAAAAAAAAAAAAAACTAGTTTTATATATGACTTTTCAATATTTTCACTTATTTTGGTTTTCACTTAGAAACAATACCCAAACACTGATAACTAAAAATTAAAAATATTATAGAGCGAGACTTACCTCTTGCTCTAACTTGTAGAAAGTATTGACAAAATTGAAATCAGCTTTGTGGGTGTTAGAAAATTGGTTCAACACCATCTCAAAGTAAGCTGGATATGAGCCCGGGACAGAAATGAAGGACGGGAAGTCTCGAGGCTCAAGCACGTCATGCAACCCCGGAACAGAAGAAATCGTCAGTTTCCCATGATGCTGGAGATGGTAAGTGTAATTAACCGTGCATGTTTGAGTAAAAAAGGCACAGGCAAGCATACCAAATTGTTTGGCTACTTCCAAAGCCCAAGGTAAAAAGGGATCGTAAACAATGCAATCTATAGGTTGGGGTGAGTTTTGGTGCTTTTTAATGAGCTCGGCTAGGGTTTTGGATCCCACGGCTTCCATCCGGGATAGATAGTCGGCGACGCTCCCAGCTTGAGCAAAGCCGCCTTCGTCGTAGCCATCGGAGATGGTATCGAAGTAGACGGAGCCCGATGATGTGCGCTGCAACGAGTTGGCGATGAAGACGGTGTTGGCTAGAGTCACTTTGATGCCCTTGCCCTTAGAGGAAACGCGCTTGCAGAATTGGAGCAACGGGTTTATGTGACCTTGAGCAGGATAAGGAACTGCCAACACGTGAGCTCTATAACCTTTATCACCTTCCATTTGATCTCTCTCTCTCTCTCTCTCTCTTAATTTGGACGACCCAAGCAATGTTTAAATGGTAAGCATATATATTCTATATATACTAAAGCTCAGAGGATGGGTACTGTTCATTAACAGTGCCCACCCGGTTTTGTCCCTCGCTTGCTGAGTAATTTTTTGCCCTTTTCTGGAATCGTGCAGTTAGTTGGCCATTTTGCCCTTTCTGCTTTCTGGTGCCGTTCTCCATCATCTGTGGTTCTTTGCTTTTCAAAACCCACGCACATTTTTTAATCATTTTTCCCTTTTTTTGGAACAATTAGTTTTTATAATTTTATTTTTGCTTTTTTGCACCACAAAATATGTGGCTGGATTTAACTCCTAACTAATAACTGATATAATAGAAATATAGTTAGAAGGGTATTATTGTAATTGAGATATATGGCTATATATGGGATTGTATAGCTATCATTTCCTTAAGTTCAATTGTATACATTTTCTTTAATCAATCAATACAATCTCTCATGTTTCTCTCTACCGATTCTTTCTCTTCCTTTGTACTAATTTCACCTTTTGCAATGTAGTTAACATGGTATCAGAGCCACCAGCTCACGCCATTGATTCTGGTGGTTCCATTTTTCATTATTTTTCATCTGTTTCTAGCTTAGTTTCTTTCCAATTTTCCATTAGTTTCTGTTTCGAAGGAATACTTTTGAGATTTCACCACCGAGAGAGATTTCACCCCAACTCTGTGAGAGATTCTCCTATTCAATGTTTTTTTTTCGGATTCTTGGGATCAAGAACCTCAATTTTTCATCTGGGTTTCTCTTATTTCAGTCCGTTAAGAGTATCGTGTTCGAAATTTGGTCTGGGTCGAGGCCAAGTTTTTGGAATTTTGGTGCTTTTTCACTCGATTGGAGCTTATTCCTCTTTGATCTTCGTGTTATTCACCCTAATAGACGACTAGGAGGTGTTTCTGGGTGCAAATATGGGCGTCGTCGGTGTTGCTTATTACTATCGCAATCGGATCTGTGCTTGGTTTCTCAGTCAGATATTCTCTTTCTTGTCGCTTGGAACCTTCTTTGTTCATCTGTTTGGTTGCCAAGAAATTATGAACAAGAAAAGATCAGATGTTGTTGCTTGTGAAAGATTCGATCTTTCTTTGTTAGGATTGGACTTTGCACTGGAATTGGCTCTCCGCGGCCCTTCCCTATCTGGCATGCCGTTGTTATTAGAGACTCAAATTCTGAAGGTCAGTGCCTTTCCTGAGTGCTGGGTAGTCGGTGCATGGATTCATAGGCGTATTCGATATAGTTCTTTCTTTTTGGTGGTCAACTCAAATCACTTTCTGAATTCTTTAGTGGTGTTTGTTTGTTCAAGATTGCAAATATTGGAAGCTCTTTATGTTCTAATTCTGTGCACTCCAACTGTTTGAAGAAATGGGTCAGTGAATTCTTTATTCTCTGGTATGGAAGAAAGATCAGACATGGGTGCACTCCAGGTGTTTGTCGAAATACCCAACTCAAAAGTTTCATGTGAAGGTTATGTTTTCAGTCCCTTTTCTCTGAATTCTTGAACAATTAGAATGGATATTTTATGGGTTTTTCAAGTTTTTTGTTGCTGGTTAAGAATTACAGCTCTACTACTTGGTTGTGGCTTGTGTTGTCTTTTGGAAGTATACTTGTTCAAGATTTGGGTATTTGTGTTTCTGTTGTGCTCCCAATTTCAAGAATATTGTTGGATTATGTAAAATGGCCCTACCAATTGGAGTTTTCTTTGGGTATTCAACAAGGTGACATGGATAACAGATGGCCTACAAGAAGACTCGAGTTTGCAGCGGATGTGATTGTGAATACATTACAAGAAAAGAAAGAGAGTGGTCATAGAGGGTTAACCCGGCAAGATGTGTGAGATGCAGCTCGCTTAACATACTGGAGATACTGGTCTTTTGGATTATGTGCTGAAATTAATGAATAATGTGATAGTTGGGAATCACATTGTGTGTCGTGCAGGGAACCCATCAACTCGGGTTTTGGAGTGTACAGTTCATGATCTTGCAGATGAGGTTAAGGTCTCGGAACTTGGGAAAAAGATAGTTGCTCATTCTTTTCAATCAACAACTCTATTTCCTGAAGTTGAGGAGTTGATGTATACAATGATGTGCTTTATCAAATTCAAGAGGGGGCTGCCACCTGGTGAAGTAGTAGTTATGCCACTGCATGTAACAATTTGAGAGCTAAAGCGAGCAGCTGAGAGTGTACTGGGAGATACTTGTGGCCATGGGAATCGAAGGCTTTGATGAAATGGATGATAAGGAAGTATTTTTTGGAGTAGCTGAATTGGGAGCAGAAGTTGGTGTGGCTGCTGGGATAAACTACTGTTTCATTTAGTGTTTTTGTTGGATTACAAGATTTCAAGAAAGTGTCAATCTTTCTTGATGGTTAAGAAAGTATAATTCTTTCTTTGATTCCATAGAATTTGTCAAGAGTGTCATTTTCATGTTGCTTTAGAATTTGTCAAGAGTGTCATTCTCTTGTTACTTAGAATTTGTCAAGAGTGTCATTCTCTTGTTACTTAGAATTTGTCAGTCAAGAGTGTCATTCTCTTGTTGCCTTAGAATTTGTCAAGAGTGTCATTCTCTTGTTACTTAGAATTTGTCAAGAGTGTCATTCTCTTGTTACTTAGAATTTGTCAGTCAAGAGTGTCATTCTCTTGTTGCCTTAGAATTTGTCAAGAGTGTCATTCTCTTGTTACTTAGAATTTGTCAAGAGTGTCATTCTCTTGGTGCCTTAGAATTTGTCAAGAGTGTCATTCTCTTGTTGCTTTAGAATTTGTCTAGATCAGTCTCAAATACTTGGCTATTTCAAACTTCACTTGGATACTCCAAGTTTAGTTTGAGGGGGAGTAATAACTGATATAATAGAAATATAGTTAGAAGGGTATTATTGTAATTGAGATATATGGCTATATAAGAGATTGTATAGCTATCATTTCCTTAAGTTCAGTTGTATACATTTTTTCTAATCAATCAATACAATCTCTCATGTTTCTCTCTACCAATTCTTTCTCTTCCTCTGTACTAATTTCACCTTTTGTTATGTCGTTAACACTAACAACTATAACAATTTGTTTTGTCATGCAGTCTATTTGTTTTATCATTTTTTTGTCCAAAAACCAATGTGTTTATCCACAAGGTACAACAATTGGTGATTGTTTATTATATGGGGTGTGATATCCACAGACCCCTTTTTACTTCTTACACACCTTTTTAATTTTCGGCCGTCGGATCGGATGAATTAAAGAAGATCAAAGGGTAAAAACCAACAAGGGGTGTGTGAGAAGTAAAAAGGGGTGTGTGGATAGCACACCCCTATTATATATATAGTTTTTCTCATGAACTCTCACACTGGCTGTTGTAACTTCTCTCTCTCTCTCTGAAAGTGGGTTTTCTTTTCTATGCATGTTATTATTTTATTTCTCTCTTATTGTTTCTTATATCTACATGTCCATTATCCGTGCTTCTTCTTCCTATCACTTTGAAGTCTAGTATTTAAAGCATTTTCTGGTTGCTTTTGGTTTACATTATGTCACGTGTTAATCATCCCCTTCCATTTGAGAGAGAGGCAAAGGAAAAGGGGGATGCCATTGCCTGATGGTAGTAACGAGGGCCCATTCCTGGAAGCATATTTTGGTTGCTTTTGGCTTACAGTATGCCACGTCTTGATCATCCCCTTCCATTTGAGAGAGAGACAGAGGAAAAAGGGGATGCCATTGCCATTGTAGTTGCCTGGTAGTAACGAAGGCCCATTCCTCGAAAAAGAGATAATAAATGCGAAGTTGCAGAAATGGACAAGGATTGTCTGCCCTCTTTGTTCCCATGCCCTCCTGTGCCCTTCTGTTTTGTGTGGTCACGGTTAAGCCACGTCAACATTTTATATTATTTTTTATAGAGATAATAAGACAAAAATAAATATTAATATAAAATGTTGACGTGACTTAACCGTGACCACACAAACAGGATGACATGAGAGGGCACGGGAACAAGGAGGGCATACAATCCTTGTCCTATAGAAATATATATATTGGGCAAGGCAGACCAAATAGAAACCAAATAGTCAATTATTCAAATATCTAGTGAATCAAGTATTGGAGGGTAGAGTTCCACGTCGAAGATGTACGAATTTTATTATGTACGAGATTAAAAATGTAAAATATCGTTTATACTAAAAATAAATATTTAGTGATAAAATTCAACACTTTTATTAAATTTTTTTGTTTAAAAAAAAAAAACCCTATTCCATGCAATAGGATGACCGTTAGGTTTTATTCATTGAAACCCTTTCGGGCCAGCATCCTTATGGGTGCGTTTGGTACGTGGGACGGGACGGGACGGAACGGGACGAGGCGTTCCGTCCCGCGTTTGGTGCGCCAAAAATGGGTGGAACGAGCTGTTCCACGGGACAGATTTTGGGTGTTTTTGCGTTCCACCTCCCCCCTGGAACGGGTTTGTTCCACGTATGTGGAACACAATGTTTTACCATTTTAAGACAAATATACCCCATGTCTTTTTCAAAAATTACACCTTCGTCCCGTCCCGTCTGCGTACCAAACGCACCCTATTTTATCCCAATCCCACGTAATATGACGACTTTAGGTTTTATTCATTGAAATCCCTTCCCAACATCTTTATTCGTTTGTTTGCATTTTATCTATGCAGACAGATCAATGACACCAATTTTTTTTTACAATTTTTTACATATGTTTTTGAGGAGCCAAATCCGTAATATTTTTCAATGATTTGAACCGTCTATCTTTTAGGTATTTTCTCAAAGATCATATCTGTTAAAATCACCCAAATTTAAAACCGTGTTTTGGATTAAGGGTTTAGGGTTCTTTGTAGAGCCGTATTTGTTCATTTTCTTTACTACAAATAGTCTTAATGATTTTAATAGACGATTTGGATTACTGAAATGTATTACGAAAACCGTATAAAATGTTTATCAAAAGTTATGTAAAAAAAATTATGAGATG